CCCCCACCCAGTCCCACCATCCCCCACCCAGCCTCACCTGGCCTTGTAGTCTGCAGCCTACTTACTTCCCTCAAAGTCAGAACACTTCAGTTTGGCTGAACAACAACAACAACAATCCATTTATTTCCTAAGCTTCACGAGCAAAACCGAGCAGAAACTCCACTGTCTCCCTCAGCAGGAACCCCACTCCCCCACAGGCCTAGCCTCCGTCTTCCAGGAGCAAGCTGACCCTCATGGAGAGTCAAAGGGACCAGCGCCAGGCCTTTCGCTGTGACCTGGTGGAAATGACCCTCCTGGACAGATGAGGAGCAGGTGGGGGCAAGATCTCAAAGTAAGGAAGCCATTCCTGCTCCCAAGTGACAGAGCATATGGGGAGTCAGCCATGGAGCAGTTAGAGGACATGCCAGGCTGAAGTCTCAGGAGCCATGCAGAGGATGAGACAACCAGTTCTTGCAGTGGAGTGAGTCCCCAGAATCCGGAAGCAAAGCCGGTCTGCTGGGGCGCCCGGGTGGCTCAGTCGGTTAAGCGTCCGACTCTTGGTTTCAGTTCAGGTCATGATCTCAGGGTCGTAAGATCGAGCCCCACATCGGGCCCCCTGCTCAGCACAGAATCTGCTGGAGATTCTCTTTCCCTCTTCCTCTGCCCCTCCCGTTTGTGTGCACGCTCTCTCTCTCTCTCCCTCTCTCAAATAAATAAATAAATCTTAAAAAAAGGAAAAAGCCGGCCTGAGTGAAGAGTAGGGGGCGGGGGGCCAGCATCTGACAGTGAGATAGGGCAGCAGGCTGGGGCGGGGGTGCAGAGCGTTCCTCATGCTTCCCTCCTGGTAAACAGGGTTTGAAAGGACTCAGAGATCTGTCCCCTGATGAATACAACAGCTCAGGGCTGGCAGCTTACACTCCCTGCTGCTTAGTGTCCATGCCCAGGGCGCCTTGGGTGAGCCTGCCCTCGGGGCCACGCGTGGCAGAGGAACAGGACTCCCAGGTGAGGGGTGCAGCATGGAGAGTGCTGAGGGTGCCTGGCAGGTGGATGCGCTCGAACCCAAGTCGTGTTCACAGAGGGGCACGAGCATCTTGCTCTTCCAGCTCCCCGCCTACCTGCCTGTCCTCCCTCCAAGGGCAGCGCAGGCTTGGGTGACCGGGGGCTCCCTCCATCCTCTGCCAGTCTGTGCAGACTGCTTGCCTCACGCCTTACCCACGCCCACCCCTGGCTGCTGGGAGTAAGGCCTGGGGGGCCCGGGGGACCCCTTCCTTGCCATTCTGCCAGCCTCCGTGCCTTGCCTTTGGCTTCCTTCAAATCAAAACACAAGCGATGTAGCGAAATGCCCGGCTCATGCCTGGCATCAGCAGGTCGTTCAATAAACGCACACTCAAGAGTTACATGAAAACCATTTAAAAACGCAAGTCTGAGAATGTTGAAAAATACATTCAGCTAAGCCTAGCAGCTCAGTTTACTCTGAGGCTTTGCTCATCTCCGTAACACATAAACTGGGTGGCGATCCATAAAGTCTCTTTACCAATTCCTTCTTTTGTCTTTGAAAACAGAAGAGACTATAATACGAAATTAGGCCACCCTCTGCATGGTTTGGTCGCTAGCTTTTGAAATCTTAAATGTGGTATTACACAAATATATAGTATTGTCATTTTTTTTCTCCATTCTAGGACACCTAGAAAAAAATACTTTCAAAGGGGCTAGTCTAGGAACAGTACGATTTCAGGAACAGTAGCATGTTAGTAATGAGAACAACAGGTGTGTTAGGATAGCGCATTATTTGGGGGCATTACAGAGCAATATTTACATGGTGTTTTAGGTAACGACCCAGTCCCCAAGAAGGATGTGAGTCCCTGAAGCTTCCAGGTTCATCTTCTGTTTGAAAGACAGGTGGTCAGCTCAGACCTGGGGAGGCAGCCCAGGAAGAGATGGCTGATGTCACAGGAGGCTTTGTTGACTCCTCAGCTGTGGTGGGACCACGGCAGTCCCCTTCAGCAACACAGGGGAATGAAGCAAGAGAAGGAAATGCCCCCCCAAACTGAATCTGACCAAGCTGACCGGGGACCGTGGCCCAGGGAGGACTCCGGGCCCTTTTCCCCGCCTAGGTCAGTGGGCAGACTTCCCCAGACGGTGACATCTACACAGTCATGACCAGCCGGCTTTGAGAGTCCCCCCTGGCTGTGCTGTGGCCCTCAGAGTTCTGTTTCGGTTTTACTGGGGTCAATTTGGTCACCTATCGTTTTTGGATCAAATGCAACTTTGAAGGAAAGCCATGCTCATGGGAGGCAGGGCAGGTTTCTTATTTTCCCTGTGAAAGCCCCTTTTCAGAGTTTCAGATAGCATCCAGCGGCAGACCAGTAGTAACCCATCCCAGAGTGATTCTTTGCTTGCCAGCCCTGACCAAAGCATATCCATCCAACTCAGCTTTCCAGAAGCTTTTCTCATCCTGGGTTAGGGGGAGGAATTCTCCTTTTCTTGTAATTTTCGTAAGAGTGGGACAGAGTGGATTCTGGAACCTGGCCAGCCAGTGAGACTCCATCAAGCATGCCCTTTTGTCACGGGAAGCGTCCCTGGGACAGAGAGAGGGGGCAAGGGGCACCCACCCACTCCTAGCTACACTCACACCACAACTCTTCACAAACAGGAATGCTGTACCTTTTCCTAAGTTACAACAAAGGGGGAAAAAATGGGGTGTAGTCTTTTTTGGTGTTTTCTACCCAACATGTCAGTTCAGGGTGTATCCAACAGTCCCCAGGCCCCCTTAGCCACCGTGCTGCAGGCCAGCACCCCAATTGTGTGCTGTTTTTCCCTCCCACCCTGAATCTGTGCTTTCCTCTGCAGTGAATGTGCACCTTGATTCTCCCGCCTCTCTGCCTCATCCCCAAAGATCCAGCTCAGAAAATCCTTCTTCCATGAAGGATCCCCTGGGGAGAAGGAGCCACACCTCCTCCCTGCCGCCCCTCCACCCAAGGGTGCCCCTACCCAGGCATGCCCTGGACCTGCCCCCAACTGTTCATTCCTTAGGAATATTAGTAACATGCTCATTATTACAATTACATTAAGTTATGATTAAATAGACTACATTCGAGGGGCGCCTGGGTGGCTCAGTCGGTTAAGCGTCTGCCTCCAGCTCAGGTCATGATCTTCGGGTCCTCGGATCGAGCCCCGCATTGGGGTCCCTGCTCAGCATGGAGTCTGCTTCTCCCTCTTCCTCTGTGCTCTCTCTTGCTTTCACTCTCTCTCAAATAATAAATAAAATCTTAAAAAAAAATCCCATTTATAGATACCGAATTTGGAATTTCATATACCTTTCATAGGTCACAAAATATTACTCTCCTTTCAATTTTTTTTAATAAACCAACCAAAAAACTTGAAAACCATCCTTTGGTTGCAGGCTGTACCCAAAGTGGCCTCAGTTTGCCAATCCCTCGTCTCGAAGTAAGGAAGTGATGGAGACCATCTTCACAATGCATACCAAACTTAAAGGGATGTCTTGTCTGTAGCCACTGCATTGTGAGCAGCATAAAAAATCCAGGAAATGGGAGCGTTCATACACTGGTCTGTTCAGCAAGGAGGTCTCACATGGCTGAGGGAAGTGGGACGTTCCAATGTCCCCAATTGTACTGTTGTCTTCCTTGTTGTAAGTGAAACATCTGCCAACATTCACCCCAATCTGCACCTGCCATCGAGACCACCGCAGACTGTCCGTGGATTCACGAGTTAACAAAAGCATCTGTGATCATCAGCTGGCTTCATGCGATTTACATTCTGAGGCAAGCACTTTACCTACATCCTTTATGTAAGTAAAATAATAAAGCTACCATTTCTTCAGAGAGCTTGCTGGTAGCCATTCACCAGCACACCGCTGCCTTATCCCAGAGGATCAGGACTGTTGGCTCAGGAGAAGAGGGCTTGCTGCCTACCCCTTCTAGCGCATTCCAGAGAGGAGGGGCTGAGTGTGTCTCTGCCCCAGAAAACTGCCCGATAAATGTCTGCCTGGTATTCGGGCTGCACAGCAACAGACACAGGAATGAGCAAGTGAATGTCCTCGGCTCCTCTAGGACATCAAGCCTCTCACCACCTCTCGTCTTTCAGGAATAATCACAGATAACCAAACCCACTTGCAAATGTAGCACTTAAAATATTTCAGTGATTTCTCAACACGTCCATTCAATAACAAAAGCAAGTACGTTACATGTAACGTATAAAAAATTATTCCACTAATTGGTACTTACCATGTTTTCATGTGCAAGCTAATAATACTTTGCACACATTATCGAGGGCAATTTCGCGTCTGGACTCATTAGAACCTAAATGAACCCAATGCTGGTGAGAACGAATGACATCAACACCCAGGCCCGTGGAGCTCCGCACAGCCAAGTGACTGCTCGAGGCCCTTGTGCTCACTGCACATTCCAGCAAGAAACACACAGCTCACACTCACAGGGCTATTGCCATAACTTCTGATTTGCATTTTAAGTAACTGACTCCAACTCCAGGAGGCAAAGAAATAAGCTAATCCCCTATTTTAAAAAAACAGTAATAATACTGCATAAAAATAAATATGCAATTAAGAGAAGTTTTATGAAATGGAAGTCTGCATACCTGATAAACTAAGAAGTAGAGAAAGTTACAGGCCAAGTTTTCAGGCAGTCCCCCTGGCAGGTAGAAATATTTCCTCATTCCACACATTTGTAGAAAGATAACAGCACTTAGAAGCCCCATGGTCCGCATTCTACCCTGTAAGTCCTGTGGTTCTTCAGGGACTGACTCCCTCACACGGGATCCAGCAGGCTGTCCTGGTTGAATTCATTTCCATGTTGAATAGTGTAAAGAAGGTGCCAGAAAGTTCCAGAACTTTCTAACCAGGGCATGTATGATACTGGGCTGGCCACTGCCCCCTCTGCACCTCCAATTCCTCACCCATAAAATGACTTGGTGATGCCTCAGGGTCACCTACTTGCTGCTATTTAATTTTATGACCTTAAGGTTCTAAGATCCACAAACAAACAAAAAGTCATTTTGGGATCTGAACACAGCTAGATCCAGGACCTAAGCTGCTACATTCTGTAAATACTGGTGATTGGATTTCATGCCAGACACACACAGAGTTGACACCCTTGCAGCCTGTGCTGAGAGCAAGCCCTCCCAGGCATGAGCTGGGGAGGGGGCTGCGCCCAGATCCTGCTCTGGACTCTGAGCCCAGGGTCTTTTCCAGGCCCTTCCTGTCTAGGAGGCCTTGTCTGACTCCAACATTAACACCTCTGTGTGGACTAAGTTGAGGGGATGGAGGGCCCAGCTAGAGGGAGGTGCTGGTGAGCTCCATGAGGGGCTATCCAGGTCCACAGGAAGCAGCTGGAGCTCACGGAGTGCCAGGAGTGAAAGGCAAGACAGAGGACACCAGGGCCAGGTCAAGTGGCTACATTCTGCTGGGGGTGAGCTTCGTGGATGGGTGAACAGATCCCTCTGTCCCACTGAGGACAGATGGCCAACACAGCTGACACAGATTAGGGCTGGGGGGAGGAGTGGCTGTCCGGAAGCTGTCCCCTGAAACTGAAATGGCCTGTCCCTCTGTCGGATGGACACAGGGGGTGGCAGAGTGACGGGGCACAAGCCCAAGGCTGTGCCCTCACTCCCCGGCCCTCCTACTGGCTCGCTGGCCTGCATGGGTCGCGTCGCTGCTCTGTGCCTCGGTCTCCCAGTGGTTACGTGGGGATGACAGTGGTGTCACCTTCCTCCTAGGGTCACGAGCATTACACACATGAAGACTGCAAGCCACTCACCAGAAATACCAGCTGCAATCAGGGGATCCATTGGAAATCTAAATTGTATGTTCATTATACAGACGTAAACAATAGGGAAGTGAATACAGTAATAATAACAACAACAATAATGATGATGATGATAATAATAGAGTCCTAGTCTCACTGTGCTGAATCCATTTCCTCAAAAATAAACAGTGTTCCCATCCATATGCTGTCCACAAGAGACTCATTTTGAACCTAAAGCTACATCCAGACTAAAATTGAAGGGATGGAGAACCATTTTCATGCCAACAGACCTCAAAAGAAAGCTGGGGCAGCAATTCTCATATCAGACAAATTAGATTTTAAGCTAAAGACTGTAGTTAGAGATAGAGAAGGACACTATATAATTCTTAAAGGGTCTTTCCAACAAGAGGATCTAACAATTGTAAATGTCTATGCCTCCAACATGGGAGCAGCCAACTACATAAGCCAACTGATAACCAAAATAAAGAGACATATTGATAATAATACGTTAATAGTAGGAGACCTCAACACTCCACTCTCAGCGATAGACAGATCATCTAAGCAGAAAATCAGCAAAGGAACAAGAGCTTTGAATGACACACTGGACCAGATGGACCTCATAGATATTTACAGAACATTCCACCCTAAAACAACAGAATACTCATTCTTCTCGAGTGCACATGGAACTTTCTCCAGAATAGACCACATACTGGGTCACAAATCAGGTCTCAACTGATACCAAAAGATTGAGATTATTCCTGCATATTCTCAGACCACAATGCTTTAAAACTGGAACTCAATCACAAGAAAAAATGTGGCAGAAATTCAAACACTTGGAAGCTGAAGACCACTCTGCTCAAGAATGTTTGGATCAACCAGGAAATCAAAGAAGAACTTAAACAATTCATGGAAATCAATGAAAACGAAAACATATCAGTCCAAAACCTATGGGATACTGCAAAGGTGGTCCTAAGGGGGAAATACATAGCCATCCAAGCCTCACTCAAAAAAATAGAAAAATCCTGAATTCACCAACTAACTTCACACCTTAAAGAATTGGAGAAAAATCAACAAATGAAGCCCAAGCCATGCACGAGAAGAGAAATAATTAAGATTAGAGCAGAGATCAATGAATTTAGAAACCAGAAATACAGTAGAGCAGATCAACGAAACTAGAAGCTGGTTCTTTGGAAGAATTAATAAGATCAATAAACCACTGGCCAGACTTATCCAAAAGAAAAGAGAAAGGACCCAAATTAATAAAATTATGAATGAAAGGGGAGAGATCACGACTAACACCAAGGAAACAGAAACAATTATTAGAAATTATTATCAAAAACTATATGCCAATAAATTAAGCAACCTGGAAGAAATGGATGCCTTCCGGGAAACCTATAAACTACCAAGACTGAAACAGGAAGAAATTGACAACCTGAATAGACCAATAACCAGTAATGGGATTGAAGCAGTAATCAAAAGTCTCCCAAAAAAAACAGGAATCCAGGACCTGATGGATTCCCTGGGGAATTCTACCAAACATTCAAAGAAGAAATAATACCTATTCTCCTGAAGCTGTTTCAAAACATAGAAACAGAAGGAAAATTTCCAGACTCATTCTATGAGGCCAGCATTAGCTTGATCCCAAAACCAGGCAAAGGTCCCATCAAAAAGGAGAATTTCAGACCAATATCCCTGATGAATATGGATGCCAAAATTCTCAACAAGATCCTAGCTAATAGGATCCAACAGTACATTAAAAGGACTATCCATCACGACCAGGTGGGATTTATCCCTGGGATGCAATGGTGGTTCAACATTCCCAAATCAATCAGTGTGACAGAACACATTAATGAGAGGAGAGTGAAGAACCATATGGTCCTCTCAATTGATACAGAAAAAACCATTTGACAAAATACAGCATCCTTTCCTGATTAAAACTCTTCAGAGTGTAAGGATAGAGGGAACATTCCTCAAGTTCATAAAATCCATCTATGAAAAGCCCACAGCAAATATCATTCGCAATGGGGAAAAGCTGAGAGCCTTTCCCTTAAGATCAGGAACACATCAAGGATGCCCACTCTCACCATTATTGTTCAACACAGTACTAGAAGTACTAGCAACAGGAATCAGACAACAAAAAGAAATAAAAGGTATTCAAATTGGCAAAGAAGTCAAACTCTCTCTCTTCACAGATGACATGATACTTTATGTGGAAAACCCAAAAGACTCCACCCCTAGATTACTAGAACTCTTAGAGCAATTCAGTAATGTGGCAGGATACAAAATCAATGCACAGAAATCATTTGCTTTCCTATACACTAACAATGTAACTATAGAAAGAGAAATTAAGGAATCAATTCCATTTACAATAGCACCAAAAACCATAAGAAACCTTGGAATAAACTTAACCAAAGAGGTGAAGGATCTATACTATAGAAACTACGGGACACTTATGCAAGAAATTGAAGAAGACACAAAAAGATGGAAAAACATTCCATGCTCATGGATTGGAAGAACAAACATTGTTAAAATGTCTATCCTGCCCAGAGCAATCTATACTTTCAACGCCATCCCGATCAAAATACCAATGGCATTTTTCAAAGTGTTGGAACAAACAATCCTAAAATTCGTATGGAAGCAGAAAAGACCCCGAATCACCAAGCAAATGTTGAAAAAGAAAAACAAAGCTGGGGGCATCACATTGCCCAATTTCAAGCCCTATTACAAAGCTGTGATCACCAAGACAGCATGATACCGGCACAAAAACAGACACATAGATCAATGGAACAGAATAGAGAGCCCAGATATGGACCCTCAACTCTATGGTCAACTAATCTTCGACAAAGCAGGGAAAAATATCCCATGGAAAAAAGAAAGTCTCTTCAATAAATGGTGCCGGGAAAATTGGACAGCTATATACAGAAGAATGAAACTCGACCACTTGCTTACACCATACACAAAGATAAATTCTAAATGGATGAAGGACCTCAATGTGAGACAGGAATCCGTCAAAGTCCTAGAGGAGAACACAGGCAGTAACCTCTTCGACATCGGCCACAGCAACTTCTTTCAAGATACGTCTCCAAAGGCAAGGGAAACAAAAGTGAAAATGAATTTTTGGGACTTCATCAAGATAAAAAGCTTCTGTACAGCAAAGAAAACAGCCAACGAAACAAAGAGGCAACCCATGGAATGGGAGAAGATATTTGCAAATGACAGCACGGATAAAGGGATGATATCCAAGAACTATAAAGAACTTCTCAAATTCAACAGCCAAAAAACAAATAATCAAGTCAAAAAAAATGTGCAGAAGCCATGAACAGACACTCCTCCAAAGAAGACATACAAATGGCTAAAAGACACATGAGAAAATGTTCATCATCATTAGCCACCAGGGAAATTCAAATCAAAACCACATTGAGATACCACCTTACACCAGTTAGGTGGCAAAAACTGACAAGGCAAGAAACAACAAATGTTGGAGAGGTTG